GTAGTCTCTTGAATCTCTAATGAGCCAAAAAAATCCGTAATAGATTTTTGTTTCTTTGCTTCGGCATTTTTTTTCTCCATTAGAGACAAGTATTTTCGAAATACCTTCAGGTCATCAGTATTAAAATCACTACGCATCTGCTATTCAAAAAACATGATAAAATTTTTTAATCCAAGTAATGCGTTTAAAGGTAGAATGTTACATAATTCCTTATTACTATCGTCAGGATCACCTTGCTCGTCTTCTAATTGCTCTGCCAGTACAATTTCAACAATTTGAGCATCATTGAGAGGTTCTTCGGTAGGTATATTTGCATTGGTGATTGTTATATAGCATTGTATTTCTTGTATAATGGTTGGATTTGTTTCTTTGCTTGTGAAATTACTTAGTAATTCACCAATTTGACATTCCTCTTGCCTGGATGATTCCTGGTGTATATTCTCATCATTAAACACTAATGGCAAAATGCCTGTCTTTTTCCAGCAATTCACAATTGTCAATTCTGTCACCTCGTTCCACGATTCTGCCACATAATTAATAGCCTCTTTGATATTGATCTTATTTCTAAATAGAAATAATCAATTTTATTAGTCAATGAATAAATTATAGTCAATAAATAGCTCTCATGTTTATAACACGGCATTTCCATAATAAAGTATAAAATACATATAGAAAGATCAACATGCTGTAAAATATGAAATGTGTACTGAAATAGTCATAAAATAACAACAAAATACACGTATGAACTGTGCTTCGCATATCGAAATATGTGACTGAAATAGTGAAGTGAATATGCATATCACGATATACAACAATGAAATATGCGTACCGAAATATGTAACCGAAATAACAAATCAAAATATGTGTACGACAACGAAATATGTGTAGTTAAATACAAAATTCATAACAAAATCACACAACAAAATATGAGAAATTAAATAAAACAATAAAATACTGCACAATTAAATAGAGAAAACAGATCTAAACTGCTTACTTTTGGATATCCTCTCCATTTTCAAATTGATTCAATATACGTCAGATATATTTTTCTTGGTATTTTGTCTTGAAACTTTTAATAATACCCGTATCCATCGGTTGAAGATGCGCCGTAGTATTGGGAGGCAAAAATTCGATTTTGATATTTGTTAGGCGTTGGTTGGACAGATCAGAAATTCTATATACACTTCCTCGATTTGTACCACGCTTGCCTTTGCTACCCCGTAGGATAGCACGATAATTATGTTGTTGATTAACTTGGATGATATTACTTGATCTTGGGTGGCCATAACCATATCTACCTTGATAATTATTTATCATCCCCGCAGTGGATAATTCCTCTTGATCACTGTTACTAGACTCTTCATCTTCTTCCTGTGAGTCTTGAGAATTGGGTACGTTATTATTCGGATTATAATGACTTGTCGCATTGTCAACTAAAAGCAGAATTTGGCGACTTTTACGGCGAAATTTATCATCAAGTTTTTTTAACCATTCTTCAAAAATATCACCCCACATCCATGCTTTTGCATTGACATGATATGTAACAGGTAATATGTTATGATTAATGTGAGATAATGCTCGTGGTTCAATTGAGGACCCAATAACAAGTGGCTGGAGTTTTTCAGTACTGATGGCATTAGAAACCAACATGATTGTAATACGTGTGCGATCCTAACAATATTAAAATTTAAAAAAAAAAAAAAAAACAATGAGAATACAAAATGATTTATTATTTTTGTTGCTTACCTTTTTCCAACCAGAGCGAGATTGAGATGCCAAAGTTTGATTTGGTGCCATACGAAAAAATAAACCAGTTTCATCTGCATTGAATACATTATCCAATGGATATTCTTGAATAATATCTTGCAACCTTTGTCTTGATTCAGGAAGCAATTCCATAGGTGCACTTTTGGCTTTTCCATGTATTCGAAAATTTCACAAGTTGTTACGCTTCTTAAATTTAAGTATCCACCCATTGGATAATTTGAGAGTATCATTAGGCAAAGAAAGAGCCTGAATAAAATAAGAAGCTTTTTTTTTGATTATTGCTTCGGTTAAAAAAATTTCACCCTAAATAACTTGCTCAATCCATAATTGCATAAATTTATCCAACAAAGGATATTTTACTCTCCTGTGTCGAAAAATATTAGCAACAGCTTGATTTTCAATCACAGCCAACCATCTGTCTTTGTTTTTTAAAATTTTAGACACAGTTGAACGGTCAAGATTTCTTTTTGAATCTTGATTATTAAAATATTTAGCAATTTGCTGGTGTGTTTGATTTGGATTTGTCAAAGAATATTGACAAATCGTATTTTTCAAGCTATCACTAATTGCTGTGCGTGCTCTTTTGATCGGAGGTTGAATAGAAATAATAATAATAAAAATTTTTTTGACGAATAATCAATAAATAATACTGAATTACTATATATAGAAAAAATTTTAATTGGTGATTAAATAAATAATACAATCATTTTAATGCTAGTAATTTTTATTCTGCTAATTATAATTTATATTATATATATCATGTGACTTTGTGATTATATAGAGGGATAAATACTAATTAAAAATTTTTTTCTATTGCTCTAAAGTGTGATAGTGATTATAAGGCAATTGTGACTATATAGGAGTATTTTAATTAATAAAAAATCGGGTCCACAAAATTATGTGATTATATAGAATTTGTGATTATATGGGAGGTGATTATATAGGAGGATGACTGTACTTGATTTATAGTGTTTCATGAAATAACAAGTATAAACAATTCAAGAGTCCTTATTAATGCATTTCCAACTGTTAAATCAAATCCAAACATTGGAAACAAGTAGCCATAACTCTTCAAATTCTTTTACTGAAATTTCAAAAAAATTATTAACATTAAAAATATTTTCTTATATAGTTATCATTATCTTAATAAACAAATATTATGTAATTATGTAATAAATATATATAATTTATCAATCTGATCTAATAAATCCGATCTAACAATCTGATCCATATAATTATGTGATACTACCTGGTTTTAGTGTATTCCCATCTTTGATATATACAGCTATAAAAGAGATTCAATATATATATATATTTTAATAAATACTCAAAAGCTGTAGTCTTTAATTGATGCAAATCATATATGTGTTCATATTACTATAAAAGAAAATTTGATTAATAATATGATTCCAAATTAAATACAAATTTCAATTATTTACTATATATTACTTAGTAATTCTATTATAATATGGTTTTTAAAAAATAAATAAATTCAATTCCATCATATATATAGTACAAACCATCAAATCTAAAAATACAAGTATCAAGTGAGATGTAACTCTATAATCTTTTAACAAATATTTAAGAGAATTAGGTTGGCTTAAACCATCAAATCTAAAGATATTGATATCAAGCAAAATGGAATTTCTATATACTATAAGAGTATTAAGCTGAATACTGATACTATATATTAGTGTTTATATTAATAATTTCTTTCAAAATTTCTTACTTTATATTAGCATATTGTACTATAAAATCTGTTATATTAAGAGGTTATAGGTTTTTATTAGAATTAAACCAGAAATCTTTTTTCATATAATCTTTTTTGCTTCAATCTGATTTTAGTTTATGATTATCAAAAAGATCAGAAATTCCATTTTTATGCAGTCTAATTAATTTTGATTAAAATCTAAATGTTTGGATACAACATTTGTAAGAAAAATAGTAAATTTATAATAAAAATAAATTTATGCATTTTGTTCCTATGAATATTAAACTAGAAACATGTATTTAAAAACTTAAAAGCACTATTTACTATGCTATAAACCCACAGGTCAATTTTATTAAATATTTAAATAATACTTTTTTTAATTAAATATTAATATATAATCAATTATTTATTTAATATATTTAATATTTTACTTTTTTTTTTTTTTTTTATAGATGAACGTGCAATAATGCAAATCTTTATTGATACATGAGTAATCTACGAATTACATCAAGTGTCCTTTTATAATTATAAATTGCTGTTGAATCGATTATGTAGTCTACAATTATAAACCAACACTGCCTAATACTTTGACATATCAGC